ATAAGAGATACTCAACATGTAGTAGGATTTAAATATTTCCAAATAAATAAAATGTCAGTTTAAACCATTGAAAAAGATGATTCTTTGATAGAGTCTCCCTCTGTTGCCCAGGCTGGAGTGCAATGGCACAATCTCGGCTCACTGCAACCTCTGCCTGCGGGTTCAAGCATCTCTTCTGCCTCAGCCTCCGGAGTAGCTGGGGTTAAGGTGTGTGCCAAGGTGGGCAGATCACCTGAGGTTAGGAGACCAGCCTGACCAACCAACATGGTGAAATTCCGTCTCTACTAATAAAGATGGTTCTTTAAAGCTTTAACTAAAAAAAAGTGATTGATTAGAAATAAAATCCAAAGTTAAATTACTACTCTATAAAAAGAAAGTTAAAGTGAGTTTCTAAGAAGCTCTTTACTTACTAGCACCTTTTAAGGTAAAATCTTTTTTTTTTTTTTTTTTGAGGCAGAGTCTTGCTCTGTTGCCCAGGCTGGAGTGGAGTGCAGTGGTGTGATCTTGGCTCACTGCAACCTCTGCCTCCCGGGTTCAAGTGATTCTCCTGAGTCAGTCTCCCGAGTAGCTGGAAATACAGTTATGTGCCACCACGCCCGACTAATTTTTGTATTTTTAGTAGAGACGGGGTTCACCATGTTAACCAGGATGGTCTCCATCTCCTGACATCATGATCCACCACCTCAGCCTCCCAAAGTGCTGGGATTACAGGCATGAGCCACCACGCCCAGTGGTAAAATCTTTTAAACTTTACTTATAAATAATATGAAAATAAATTATGATTGTATAGCACAATGATTAAAAGTGTAGGCTCTGAAGTCAGATTATTTGAGTTCAAATCCAGTTTCTACCACTTATTATAAATATCTGTGAAGCCGGGCGTGGTGGCTCAAGCCTGTAATCCCAGCACTTTGGGAGGCCGAGGCGGGTGGATCACGAGGTCAAGAGATCGAGACCATCCTGCTCAACATGGTGAAACCCCGTCTCTACTAAAAATACAAAAAATCAGCTGGGCATGGTGGCGCGTGCCTGTAATCCCAGCTACTCAGGAGGCTGAGGCAGGAGAATTGCCTGAACCCAGGAGGCGGAGGTTGCGGTGAGCCGAGATCGCGCCATTGCACTCCAGCCTGGGCAACAAGAGCGAAACTCCGTCTCAAAAAAAATAAATAAATAAATAAATAAATAAATAAATAAATAAATAAATATCTGTGAATTCAGTCAGGTTATTTAACCTCTGCAAACCTGTTTTCTCACTGTAAAATTGGAGAACTATTATTTCTGGGTTAAGGATTAAGTAAGATGATTAATAATTTTCTTTCTTATATCTTATAAATTCATCATGTAGCAAAAAAATGCAGTGAAAAGGCTGCCAAACAGTGTGATCCAGCTCAGCTACAGTGTAGGTGCATCATGGCCCCAGTATACACAGCAATAAATACTGTGACCTCAGGATTGATTTTGAGGGGAGAGCTTTGTTCCTTAACCCACTCCATGCTCCTGAATAGCGTGCACCACTGCATTCAGCTAAAATAAATACTTTTAACACTATTTTTCTAGAAACCAAATCAGTATTTTCTATAATCTGGCCTTCATTTTTTCTATGATGCCTTATCTTGCATAGCCTTATCTGCTGTTTTAAGTAAACTAGACTTATTAAAACTGGTCACTTGAACAATAGTTAAAATTGTATGATAATTCTGGCAATGTGTAATTGCTTTCAGAAACTCTATTTGGGAAAAAACAAATATATCACAAAAAGTTTCCTTAACAATTATTAATTTCCTTAACAAATATAATGCCTATTTATAATGCTATTCTACACAAAAGAGAAATAATCCGATAATAAGATTCTTTCTAGATATGTATCACATATTGTAACAACCTATTAATCTGACTCAGACCCAAAATGTCTATTAAAAAATGTATTGTGACATATGTGGATACATTACTTGACTTTTTATTTCAGACTGACAGGAGTAACTGAATTAAATCATTAGATCAAAACACTTCAAATTTGTTTACATTAGTATAAAGGTGACCTAAATTAGAACAAGAAAATATAAAAATGAGTTATAGTTAAAACATTTAATTGAGAAACAAATGTGAATTACTTGTTCTTTGAAACAAATTTCCAAAATAACAAAATCATGCAGTAGAAAACAAATTGTAGGATTTTGCTAATCACATAAATTCTTAGTAATTTATACTGTCATCTAATGACAGTATTTTTCTCTTTTATTTATTTATTTATTTATTTTTTAATCGAGGCGGGGTTTCACCACGTTGGCCAGGCTGGTCTCAAACTCCTGACCTCAAGTGATTCACCCACCTCAGCCTCCCAAAGTCCTGGGATTACAGGCATGAGCCACCATGTCCGGTCAGTATTTTTCTCTTATACTGTCTCAGTCTGAATTAGTTTTAGCACTTAATCAAAATTAAACGATGATAAACTCAGACACAAAAAATGTTAAAAATATGTTTACTGATATGTGTACAGCCACCCCATCTATATATACATACACACATATATATATTTATACTTTAAGTTCTGGGGTATATGTGCAGTTCTTGCACAATTGTTACACAGGTATACACATGCCATGGTGGTTTGCTGCCTCCATTCCCTCTTCACCTCATTAGGTATTTCCCCTAATGTTATCCCTCCCCAATCTCCCCACCCCCTGCTATGGCTCCCCTAGCCCCTGACCCCCCAACACACCCCAGTGTATGATATTCCCCTCCCTGTGTCCATGTGTTCTCATTGTTCAACACCCACTTATGAGTGAGAACATGTGGTGTTTGGTTTTCTGTTCTGGTGTCAATTTGCTGAGAATGATGGTTTCCAGATTCATCCATGTCCCTGCAAAGGACATGAACTCACCCTTTTTTATGGCTGCATAGTATTCCATAGTGTATATGTGCCACATTTTCTTTATCCAGTATATCACTGATGGGCATTTGGGTTGGTTGCAAGTCTTCCCTATTGTAAACAGTGCTGAAATGAACATATGTGTGCATGTGTCTTTATAATAGAACAATTTATAATCCTTTGGGTATATAGCCAGTAATGGGATTGCTAGGTCAAATGGTATTTCTATTTCTAGGTCCTTGAGGAATTGTCACACTGTCTTCCACAATGGTTGCACTAATTTACACTCCCAACAGTGTAAAAATGTTCCTATTTCTCCACATCCTCTCCAGCATCTGTTGTCTCCAGATTTTTTAATGATTGCCATTCTAACTGGCATGAAATGGTATCTCAATGTGGTTTTGACTTGCATTTCTCTTATGATCAGTGATGATGAGCATTTTTTCATATGTTTGTTGGCTACATAAATGTCTTCTTTTGAAAAGTGCCTATATATATCCTCCACCCACTTTTTGATGGGGTTGTTTTTTTCTTGCAAATTTGTTTTAGTTCTTTGTAGATTCTGGATATTAGCCCTTTGTCAGACGCGACCGCCCCATATATTCTTAAATTTAAGGAGGTCTGAACACTGAATAATCATTATTTGAAAACCATTTACAGGCTGGGCTTGGTAGCTCACGCCTGTAATCCCAGCACTTTGGGAAGCAGAGGAGGATGAATCATGAGATCAGGAGTTTGAGATCAGCCTGGCCAACCTGGCAAAACCCTGTCTCTACTAAAAACGCAAAAATTAGCTGGGCATAGTGGCAGGCACCTGTAATCCCAGTACTCAGCATGCTCAGGCAGGAGAATCGCTTGAACCTAGTAGGTATAGGTTGCAGTGAGCCAAGATTGTGCCACTGCAGTTGAGCCTAGGTGGCAAGGGCAAGTCTCCATCTCAAAAAAAAAAAAAAAGAAAAAAAGGAAAAGCATCTACATAAACAATATTCTATATATGACAGATACTCGGTAGACTAATAATTAAGATGCTTTTTCTTAGATTAGCAATGCAGGTTAAAAATCATAGCAGGATCCCTAAAGGTAAGTTTATCTACTTTTGCTTACTTCTCCTGAAATTTAGATTGGAAAAAAATTACACTGAATGTAAACTTTGGGGTATATATCATTTTTACTTGAATATTTCTTCCTATTTCTCTGTGAAATCAGGCATTATGTAAAATCCACTTGTTAAAAATATTGTTAGGCTGGATGCAGTAGCTCACGCCTGTAATCCCAGCACTTTGGAAGGCCAAGCAGGCAGGTGGATGACAAGGTTGAATACCAGACTGGCCAACATGGTGAAACCCCATCTCTACTAAAAATACAAAAATTAGCCGGGCATGGTAGTAGGCGCCTGTAATCCCAGACACTCGGGAGGCTAAGGCAGAGAACTGCTTGAATCCGGGAGGGGGAGGTTGCAGTGAGCCGAGATCGTGCCTTGCACTCCAGCCTGGGCGAGAGAAGGAGACTCTGCCTCAAAAAACTATTGCTAATATTTAATATAAACAGAGTTTTATGAGATCAAATAATATTTATTTTAATACCTACTGTTGATGAGATAATTCTCTTTTAATCTACTTAATTTATTAGAATTTCTTTATTTTTGGAGATAGAGTCTCACTCTGTCACTCAGGCTGGAGTGCAGTGGCATGATCTTGGTTCACTGCAACCTCTGCCTCTTGGGTTCAATCGATTCTCTTGTCTCAGCCTCCCGAGTAGCTGAGATTACAGGCATGCACCACCACACCCAGCTAATTTTTGTATTTTTGGTAGAGACAGGGTTTCACCATGTTGGCCAGGCTGGTCTCAAACTCCTCTGGTGATCCACCCACCTCGGCCTCCCAAAGTGCTGGGATTACAGACATGAGCCACCGTGCCCAGCCTATCGTCTTAGAATCATGAGATTTAGTATCAATAGGCCCACAGATAATATCATGGATAGCAACCTTCTAATTCATTAATATCTATATACAGTCAAACAAATTCCTGTATTATAAAGAAAGGAACGCTGTACTACTTTTAAAAATATGTCAGTGCTACACTAGGGGTGTAACTCCTTATAAAGCAAGCATGAATGTGGCATCAAACTTACTTTTCCAAAGAAGCCTTTGAAGAACTTCTTTTCCTGGAGGAACAGGGGGACAAGTCGAGCGCTATTATTGTATGGGCTAATTGTCCTAGGGTTTCACACCAATAAGCACATACAGAAATTGGGGAAAGGAAAAAGTAGGAGAAGGGGTGGGGGTGAGTTTTAAAGAGTTATCCATACCAGGAGTGACAGGGAAAAAGGAAGGTGCATGAAAATGCAGGGAAACACACAGTATGGCCTAAGAATCCATGGAAAGAGTGAGAAGAAATCAGAACCTGTATCCATGCAGAGCAACAAGTTAGTTTAGTAATCGCTATTTACATTTAAAACAGAGATCTTCCAAATTTGGCAGTAGAGAAAAAGATAGGGCATACTGGTTTGGTGAGATTTGCATTTTAAACTTTATAATAGTGAGTAGAAAAAAGAAAACTGGTTCCATACACATTTTTTAAATTTAAAATTGGTGGTCAGCTACGTGAAATTCATCAATTTAAAAAAAGTTCACATTCAAATGACCACATAATCACATTAAAAATGCAATATGTAAAATTAAATGAGTATGCATCAAAGGTCTTTGTCATACTTTTTCTTAGTGAGTTCAAGATATCAGTTAGAAACTCCATACCATTTAAGGGGAGCTTGACCACTGGCTTTCCATTTACTTACATTAGTATCAATCTATGTGTATGTGCATGCTGATCAATTCCACAACATATAAAAGGAAATAACATATATATTCTATTCCAAAAACAGAATAAGTTATCTATTAAGGTTACAAGGCTAATGTTTATGCAAGAGCTGAGAAAACATCTATCTTAAGAACCAAACGATGTCTGTGGGCCATAACTGAAATTTAAGAAATAGGGTTTTGTTTTCTTTATAAAAGCTACTGTTTTATTATTTTTGTTTGTTTGTTTGTTTTTTGAGACAGAGTCTCACTTTGTCGCCCAGGATGGAGTGCAGTGGCATGATCTCAGCTCACTGCAACCTCCACCTCTCGGGTTCAAGCAATTCTCATACCTCAGCCTACCGAGTAGCTGGGACTACAGGCGTGTGCCAGCACGCCCAGCTAATTTTTGTATTTTTAGTAGAGCTAGGGTTTCACCATGTTGGCCAGGCTGGTCTCGAACTCCTGATCTCAAGTGATCTGCCTGCCCTGGCCTCCCGAAGTGCTGGGATTACAGGCATGAGCCACTGTGCCCAACCTAAACCTGTTATTTTAAAATAAAGAAACTTGCATTGACATTTATAAGTATACAATTCCGAAACTATCTGGATAAGAGAGGCATAACTATGTATGGTATCAGCACCAATTTTTAAACACCATTTATAAAAACTGGTCACCAATTAAAATCTGTAGAATTTTCACAAATTAGATGGGCTTCAACTCACCCAAGCTAGATTAAGTTTACATTTCCTAGCTGTGGTTGAAATACTTTAAGCCTTTACTTTTTGTAATGATCAGTTTTTAATGTTAGATAAATGTCTAGAAAAAGATAAATGAAATTTGACTGTTTTACATAATTCATAAACTATTCAATGCTCTCAAACACTGGAAAGTTTGTTTTCCCTCTACGCTTTGAAAATCACAAATAGCAAAAAATATTTCCACAAAACATTTTGAACTGCAACTGGAAAAATAATAAAGTAACTGGGTAGTTATCACAATAAGACTAATATTATTTCTTCTGCCAAGTTTGGTGACCCTAGTTTTGTTAGACTATGAATAACCATAAGCTTTCAAGGATGCAGCCAAAGTTAAGATATTCACCATTCTTGAGGGACAGGAAGGTGAGGGAAGGAGATTGTTAATATTAAATTTTGCTCCTAGAAAAGCTATTGTTAAACATTGAACTTTCCCTCTTTTTATAAAATACCCAAGATGTTAATGAAAAAAGCTGGTGTGCGAAATGCATAAAAAGACAGTTATTAGAGAATAATGTTCTTTTAAAAAACATTTGTTATGATTCTTTTACCTGCTAAAACAAGAACACATATTAAAACAAATATATCAAATAGTGAATAAAAAAACCAACATATTAGAAACTGGTAGTAAAATGAAACTAGTTTAAAACTAAGACAGAGGCAGAGACATTTAAGAAACAATGGGAAGAAATGACCTTTTTAAATCAAGGGCATCTTGGACCAGAGTTAAGCAAGATAACCAAAGGCCTCATACACTTTTTATAGAATTGGTTGATATATGACAATAGTCTTCACCCTGCAGCTGACTATGCCATAAAGGCAATAACAATGGGCAATAGTGACTTCCGTCATTTATCCTATTGAAGCTAAATCCCAAAGTAGCTAATCAGTGAAGTTATGTCACAAAGTAAATAAGCTGAAAATAGCTGTCACTTGTACAGCAGGACAAAATAATAAAAAAGAAAAAAATATCAGAAAAATAAATAGCTGTCAGTAACTTTATGCACACAAATTTTAAAAATTAACATATTTATGCAATGAGGAGCATATTTTTAAAACACTATCTTGTTTAGTTATAATATCTTTTTCATTTGAGCATATCAAGTATGCAGATGACTTTTACTTGAAGTTAATGTATGAGAAGAACAGTATCCTAAGGACTTCCTACTTTCTACAAGATTCTCTGTATAGCTCTAGAAAGAGTATTTAAAAGGGGGATGTTTCATTGAATATAAGAAACAGGAAATTGACCCCAGTAACCCAAAACTTCAATTTCATATTTTTATAATACATGTTTGCCAGTGCAAAGCTACATATAACATTTGCTCCAGATCTAGAATTTGTCTGAAAAATTTTAAATAACTTCTTGATAAAAAGTCTAGAAATGGTCAATTTTCCCTCAAAGTTTAAAAGTTAAAGTACATTTAGAAAATAATCACCAACATATCTAAAACTTTCTTTTTTATTATTTATTTATTTTTATAGAGACAGGGTCTCACTGTGTTACCCAGGCTGGTCTTGAACTCCTTGCTTTAAGTGATCCTCCCATCTCAGGCTTCTGAGTAGCTGAGATTGCAGGCACAAACTACTGCACTGAGCTTAAAACTTTCTTTTAGTCATTAAAGACCATAAGAAAATAAAGATCTTTAGAAATATGCAAAACAGTTTTGTAAACTTAAAACATTAGTAAAATATTTGATTACGGTTACTGTAAGACTCGATTTGACCACATATTGCAGATAGGATTGTATTCTGTATATTCATTCTAGAAATATTTTTTTAGTTACTACTATGTGTCAGTCACTGTTCAATGCATATGAATAATTTTTTAAATGGCTATTTAGTTCCTAATTCTGATGAATATAAAAACATTAACTTTTATTATTTAAATACTCCTATGCCTTAAGCAATCACACTTATAGTCTATTCTCTTCTTGGTTTAAAAAAAAGGTAAAATAAAAAAAATCCACTGAAACATTAGTTTTAAAACTAGACAGTTAAATAGTGGCTATCTCTGGGACTGTAGGAGATTTCATTTTATTTGTGTACTTTTTTGGTTCATTTGTATTTTATACAATAAACATATTGCTTATATAATAAAGAGATGATCCTAATTAAAAGTATTTAAAAAAACAAAACTAGATAGTTAAGAGGATTAACTGCTCATTTAACAATGAAATACCATTTCTCAATATGTTCTGGGCAAACTTAAACCACCTCTAGCTTTTCCTTACTTACAGTGTCACATGAAGCCATACTTTGAATCAAAAGACTTTCTAAAGGTTCATTCCATAGTGGCCATTTCACCATAAGTTGTATAAATTATAGGATTTTAATAATTATTTATAGTTGTTTCAGGGCTATCTAGTCTGTTCATTGATTTGTTTTCAGTCATTAATGTAAAATATTCTTCAATGGACAAATAATTGCATTACTTTAAAAATACATTTTTAGGGCCGGGCGCGGTGGCTCAAGCCTGTAATCCCAGCACTGTGGGAGGCCGAGGCGGGTGGATCACGAGGTCAAGAGATCGAGACCATCCTGGTCAACATGGTGAAACCCCGTCTCTACTAAAAACTACAAAAAATTAGCTGGGCATGGTGGCGCGTGCCTGTAATCCCAGCGACTCAGGATGCTGGGGCAGGAGAATTGCCTGAACCCAGGAGGTGGAGGTTGCGGTGAGCCGAGATGGCGCCATTGCACTCCAGCCTGGGTAACGAGCGAAACTCCGTCTCAAAAAAAAAAAAAAAAAAAAAAAACACATTTTTAGCTAAAATCATCTTGTTTGTGTATTTGAGACAAGGGCTCACTGTGTTGCCCAGGCTGGTCTCAAACTCCTAGACTCAAGCAATCCTCCTACCTCAGCCTCCCAAGTAACCAATATTTTGTTTATTATTCTTCTAGATGAACTCAGAAAGAATTATTTCGTTACAGAAGAAATTAAATTTTTAATTCTCCTTTAAATGAGTTCTGACAAAATGGAAAATTAAATTATCTAAGACTATGTTTAAGTGGGGAATATATTTAGGTTGGCATGGAAGATCTATAATTTCATGTACCGTAACACAAGGTCCCCTTAACATAAATGAGATTGGAGAGCACAGATAAGACTAGCAAAGGGTTGAATCATTTAAGAATTTTAATGATTGGCCGGGCGCGGTGGCTCACGCTTGTAATCCCAGCACTTCGGGAGGCCGAGGCGGGTGGATCATGAGGTCAAGAGATCGAGACCATCCTGGTCAACATGGTGAAACCCCGTCTCTACTAAAAATACAAAAATTGGCTGGGCATGGTGGCGCACACCTGTAGTCCCAGCTACTCGGGAGGCTGAGGCAGGAGAATTGCTTGAACCCGGGAGGTGGAGGTTGCGGTGAGCCGAGATCGCGCCATTGCACTCCAGCCTGGGTAAAAAGAGCGAAACTCCGTCTCAAAAAAAAAAAAAAAAAGAATTTTAATGATCAAAATTTGAGGTAAAGAGTATGTACAGGAATGTGTGTGTGTGTGTGTGTGTGTGTGTGTGTGTGTGTGTGTCTATACCTTATTATTATTATTTAGTTCTTTGTATACTATAGCCAGTTACTTTTCTCCTTTCCCTTCTACAACAGATTCAGGTACTTACTCAAAAATTAAGTCTACCTCTCTGAGTTGGTTGCTTCCTTGATTTTCTATTTTTTATATTCAGGAATTATAGATAAGAAGTAGTGTAGAATATGCCAAGAAGCAGAAAACTTCTGATTACTAAGCAAATTCAGGGAAAAAAAGCACACATTAGTAGTCAAACTTATGGCAGCCCCACCATACCAGCAAACCCAGACCAACATGTATTTAATGCTATTGGGGCCACGGCATGCAGAAGTAATGCTTAAAGCTTTCACAGCAAAGTGGGGAAAGGCCATATATTAGAGAAAAGGAAGGTTGTGAAGAGGGCTATCAGATCTACGGAACATTCCTCAAAACTATGAAAATCTGAAATTAACACTTTAATCTGAATCTTTATGAACTCCAAACTCATTCTCTCCTTTCACTGAATACACAGGCATGTACCTGAGATGTGTTCTATGGCATAGGAGGCAGAGGAAACATTAGTTACCCTCGGACAGGGCTCTCTACTTCAAGTGTGCTAAAGTTTATGTAAAAGGCAGTAGAAATAGACTGTTTATGTTAGAGGTGCATAGGGAAGAAAATTGGGGAGTAGGAGTCAAGACAATGTCTCCAAAAAGGAAACCTCACCAGGTATCAACACAATACCTCTATCCTTTACTTTTCCCCAGGAAGCTATTTTTTATACCATATTTAAAATCCATAATTTATAGTCCAGTTATCACAGTTAGGTTAAGATGTTAACTGCAACCGTTTTATCCTAGTCTTAGAATACTATTCTTCTATCAAATTTCACAGCATTCATTTCGTATGGGTTATAAATCAAAAGCACCTTTAACATAATGTCTGGCCTAAATTGAAGAGGCTGGTCTTACAATATATATCTTTGGATGGACAACATGAGATGCCTTTAAATTTTTTTATTATTTAAGAAAACTTTTTTTGAAATTAATAGAGACAGGGTCTCCATATGCCCAAGCTGGTCTCGAACTCCTGGCTTCATGCAATCCTCCTGCCTCAGCCTCCCAAAGTGCTAGGGTTACAGGAGTGAGCCACTACGCTTGACTGAGATGCTCCTTCTTAGCAAGCCCACATCATTTTAACAGAAACACAGTTCTTACTGGGTCACTAAAATTTACTGTGAGCAAAATCCTTTAAGAAACAATTGATAGCATATAGATCAACATTGGCAATCATCAGATACATACAGCCTTCAATCTTTTTACAGCATCTTCACAGATGTGCATTCCTCTTGATTCATCAACTTCTACATGGCCAAGGTACTGTAGAAAGAAGGAAAAGTTAGGGCTATTGCTGTTTACCAAGTAGCTACTATACAGTAAACTTTACATTTAAATCGAATACAGGTTGAACATTCCAAATCTGAAAAAATTTGAAATCTGAAACACTTCTGGGTGTCAAGCATGTTGGATAAGAGACACACAACCTGTATTGAAATTCCTACACTAAAAAAATACACCTCTATTGTAAAATAGTTCAGATAGTGTTACTTTATATATTCTCATGTCCTTATAGGAATAAGATTTACAATAATTATTTCAAAGAAGTGTTATAGGTGAGTAACTGAAGTACACAGTAGACACTAAATATTACTTGAATCTACTGGATCTGAAGTGTAATAGGCTGTGCTAGAAACAGTTACTATGTCTCTACACATAAAAGCAATCCTAAGATAAAGTGTATATATATATATATCCTTAAAAAGGCACAAACAAAAATGGCAGTTTTTCAAAGGCTGAAGAAATCACACACTCCTTTTATGGGGAGAATATAAGATCAAGAGAAGGTAACCAAAACAAATTTTATGAAGGTATTACATCTGAGCTTTAAAAGATGCATAAAATTTGAAGAGGCAAAAACTGAAAGGTTGAAAAACTGTTTCAGGCTGAGAGAATTACATAAAGTTATAGGTGTGGAATACGATAACTATGTTTCAGTGCTGGGACTCAGAACACATTATGCCAAAGTATGGTGCTGAATGCTTTGAACTAAAAAAGAACCAAGGTCTAATCTTTTCTTGCCCTCCTGACTCTAACCCCTTCTTCTCCCCAAGAGCAGGAGGGGCTTTCTCTGAAGTTCTCTTATCTGCCTAAAGACAGATCCTTCAAAAAGGAGCTCAATTGTTATATACTCCCTCCCTAGGAATCTTATCAACTAGGTAGATTAACTGTATCACAGGAGAAGAGACTAAGGGTCAACACCCCAGACTCTCACAAGCTACCACCTATTCTTCTGAGGGCTGTTCCAGACAACTTGTATCACAGGAGAGACTTTTTATCTGCATAACAAGGCAACCTTTGCTCACTGTGCATTTCCTCCCCTCATATTCCCATAGGTTGTCACCACCTCCCCTCAAGTCCCTATTCCTTCTGCAGCTCAGGGTGCCATAAAAATGTCAATCATCTGGCCTTCTTCAAGTCTTGTATTTTGTGAGACTCTTATGTACAAACACATAATAAATTTTGCATTTTTTTTCCCCTGCTAATCTGTCTACTGTCGGACTATCTCACATACTCAAATACTGAATGTTCAACAGGTAGAGGGAAAGTTCTCTTCTCTCTAGCATTAACAAGTATTCCTGTTTGGCCTGAATATGAAATACATGCAGCTGGGGAATTAAAGTGCTAAAATAAAGAGTCAGCACTTAACCCTAGAGACAATGGAGATCTAATAAAGATTTTTTTTTTTTTTTGCAAGGTAGTAATATGATTCAAGCTGTACCTTAGCATGGGAAAAGTCCTGAGTTAAAAAAGCAGAGGGATGGTGGCAATACGACAAGTGCTATCTTTTTTTTTTTTTTTTTTTTGAGATGGAGTTTCACTCATGTTACCCAGGCTGGAGTGCAATGGCGCGATCTCGGCTCACCGCAACCTCTGCCTCCTGGGTTCAGGCAATTCTCCTGCCTCAGCCTCCTGAGTAGCTGGGATTACAGGCACACGCCACCATGCCCAGCTAATGTTTTGTAGTTTTAGTAGAGACGGGGTTTCACCATGTTGACCAGGATGGTCTCGATCTCTTGACCTCGTGATCCACCCGCCTCGGCCTCCCAAAGTGCTGGGATTACAGGCTTCAGCCACCGCACCCAGCCGACAAGTGCTATCTTTTAAAAGAAAATTTAGGGTCTCGTTCCAGGTAAGATGGAGTAGACACACTACACTCTGTTCCTCCCACTGACTGAAACTGTAAAACCTGGACAGAATTCATGGAACAGGTAGGTACTTAAGCTTTCTGAAAAGTAAACAGAAGATGAATCGGAACAGAAGACCAGAATTCAAAGCACTGTGGAAATGGAAAGGAATTTACCTCCTCTTTCTCTCTTTGGTACCTCCAGCCTGAGAAAATAACTTTTATCTGAGGAATGCAGGTTCTTTGAATTATCAGGCCAAAAGAGACATTAAAATGAGACTGCAATCATGCCCTACTACACACTTTGACCTATTATCTCTCTCCTGAAAATGCTTGCTTGCTACTGCCACGAGTAGCTAGAAATAAACCTAATAATGTCACACCAGACACTATAACCCACACCCGGCCTGTTGCTTAACAATGTATAGCCAATCACTAGTCAATGTTACTTCTGTGAACCAATGAGAATTCCTGACACACAACTTTGTATCAGCCTACTCCCTATCCTCTTCTTTTGCTTTTAAAAATCCACTTGCTTGCTGGGTATGGTGACTCAAGCCTGTAATCCTAGTACTTGGGGAGCCAAGGTAAGAAGACCATTTGAGGACAGGAGTTCAGGACCAGCCTGGGCAACATAGTGAGACACTGTCTCTACAAAAAATAAAAAAAATTAGCACACACCTGTAGTAGTAACTATTCAGGAGGGGGAGGCAAGAGGATTGCTTAAACCCAGGAGTCCGAGGCTGCAATTAACTATGATCATGCCACTGCACACCAGCCTGGGTGACAGTGAGAGACCCTGTCTCTAAAAAAACAAAACAGACCTTTTTAAACTCAACAAACAAACAAAAAACACCTGTAACTACTAATTGAAGCGTACATTCAGGGCAACTTGAATCTATGCTCCTGGGTTGCAATACTCAACCTTGCCCTGAATAAACCTTCTACTTATATTAATTTTGCCTCAGCTTCTTCCTTTTAGGTTGACAAGCCTGAACTTAGCACAGCCAGAAATCCAAAAGTGAGTGCTGTGGTACAGAAAGACGTCTGGGAGGCCAGGTGCAGTGGCTCACGCCTGTAATCCCGGCACTTTGGGAGGCCGAGGCAGGTGGATCATCTGAGGTCGGGAGTTCAAGACCAGCCTGACCAACATGAAAAAACCCCATCTTTACTGAAAAAACAATGATTAGTTGAGCACAGTGGCATGCACCTGTAATCCCAGCTACTCAGGAGCCTGACGCAGGAGAATCACTTGAACCCTGGAGGCAGAGGTTGCAGTGAGCCGAGATCGCGCCATTGCATTCCAGCTTCCGTAACAAGAGTGAAACTCCATCTCAGAAAAAAATAAAAAAAGAAAAACACAGAAAGACGTCTGGGAAAATCACTCTAGCTCTGGTCTGAGGACCAGTAAATGGAACTCCTAAAGCTCGGAGAGTATGGGAGTCCCCCTCTCTTTTATTTGTTCTCTCACACCTCACACATCAGGAAATCCTGTGATGGTGTGGTAGCAGCAGAGGTAGCAAGAAAGGAAACCTGCAAGAGCCACACCTCTAAGGGAAGGGGACCTACGTCTCTGTTTAGAAGAACTGTGATTCCAGGAAGATGGGGCCAATCCCCCTTTTGCTTTTTTCCTTCCTCTCTGATCTCCTGCCATTTGACTGTAGATACAAGTGAAATTGTGGAACTTCATGGTAGTACAGAACAATGAAAGCCCTAGGTTTCTGGCTAGAGGACAAGAAAGGGAAGCTCCAGGGAACCAGAAAGTACCAAAGAAGGCACAGGAAGGGAGGAGCTTGGGAAAGACACCATGAATTTGTGAATTCTTACTTAGGCTTACCCTGCAGCTACACAGCTAAGAATCTGATCCTAATTACCATACCCAGGACTTTGAGAGGTGAACTAATGTACAGACCACCTCCCGGTTCCCAAACTGACCCCTAAGTGACATATACACAGAATAGATCAGAATAGCACCACAGATCAGAATAGCATTGCAGAGGCTTTGAAAACTGAACTGATGGCCCGGCACAGTGTAATCCCAGCACTTTGGGAGGCCGAGGCGGGTGGATTACTTGAGGTCAGGAGTTTGAGACCAGCCTGGCTAACATGGCAAAACCCCGTCTCTACTAAAATTATAAAAATTAGCCGGGTGTGGTGGCAGGCGCCTGTAATCCCAGCTACTTGGGAGGCTGAGGCAGGAGAATCACTTGAACCCGGGAGGCAGACATTGCAGTGAGCCTAGATCGGGCCACTGCACTCCAGCTTGGGCAACAAGAGTGAAACTCTGTCTCAAAAAAAAAAAAAAAAGAAAAAGAAAAAGATAACTGAACTGATACTGGAAGCACATCCCACAGGAAGTGAGTAAGAACTTGTAGCCTGAGACCTAACTGGACTGACTAGCATAGGAAATGTTAATTTAAAAGGAATTAACATTTACTGATTACCTACTATGTGCCAGAAACTGTGCTGGATGCTTTTATATTTTGTCTAACCTAATAACTACTCAAAAAGGTATGTTTGCTCACTTGATTTTAAAACCGAGGAAAGGAAATGAGGTTCAGGAATGCTGAATAACTTTCCCAAAATTAATACACAGCTAGTAAGGGTAGAATATGGTTTACATTCATGACTTCAAAGTCCAAAGGTCTCACACTTGACTTAACCACAATTCAAAAAACTTTCCTTGATTTTTCATTCCTATTATAAGGAAATTTAAAAAACAACAGGTTCTTTCCACCAGATTTTTTCCTACATTTAAAAAAATACAAGTCATTTCCCTGGCAAATTCTTCCTCTGGCAGGGCTGAAACTGTCAATAACAAGTGAGCCTCTCTGAAAACTCAGTGAAAACATCTAAAATAAGTTCATCATTATTCATACTTTCTCAATTCTTCTCAAGTTACAAAATTTCCACTTTGAAGATAATTATTAATATGAAGATAATTATTAATTATTAAACCCCCTGACAAGGAAGCTTAATGACATTTTGGAATATGGTGCTGCAGAAATTCATCATTATTGAACAAAAGTAAAAAATTAGTTAAAAATCTAATACCTGTAATTTCCAAGTAAGACTGGCTCTTGGAGACACTCTAGTTCATATACATGGTCCTATAGGGCATAGATTCATTCATTTT